TAGAGCCCCTATGTTCAGTCTCTAACACCTAAGGAAAAAAAATTTTTTTTAAATATGATGAATGTAATCATTGTGCACTACAAAGATGTACTGAATAAGAGTAAAAAATACTTTTTTATAATTTTTAAAAACAAGCTGGGCGTGGTGGTGCATACTAGTCACCTAATACTCGGGAGGCTGAGGTGGGAGAATCCCCCCGAGTCTGAGGCCAGCCTGGGCTCCATAGTGCATTCAAAGTCAGCTTGGACGACTCAGCGAGACCCTGTCTCAAAAAACCAACCAAGATGTTAAAAAGACGTCATAGAGAATTCGGAAGGTGGAGGATGAGACCGGGAGAGACAGGCAGCCGGCCGAGTGCACCAGGGCGCCTGCCCAGGGCCTGGCTCTGCTGGCGTGGGGAACCGGGGGGCTCGGGAAGGCTTCACAGCCCATCAACCCGGGACACAGCGCAACTCTCGGGGCTGCGTGCAGCGGGCGACCGGGCGACCGCAGTCACCTGAATTTATGTCTCCTGCTTGGCCCATGCAGATCACAGCTTCTTCGGGCCGGAGTGGCAGAAGCGCTGGTGCGTGCTCAGCGGGGGCTTCTTCCTCTACTACGCCAGTGAGAAGGGTAAGGGGGGCCTGGAGTGGGCCCGGCAGGCCTCCCGCTCTGCCGGCTCCTGCCAGTGCCTGACCGACACCCGCGAGGGTGGTGAAGGCCTTGCCCACGGGGGGAGCACACGGGGGCTGCTTCCTCTGGAAACGTGAAGGTAGCACTGTCCATACACCAGAGGGTTATCGTTTATTAGGACGAACAGCACTAGAGTATCAAAGTGGAACGTGTGGGCATTCTAAAAACAAAACAAAACTCAGCCTAGCATAGTGGTACCCACCTGTCATCACAGCATTCAGGAGGCTGAGGCAGGAGGATCACTTCAAGTTCAAGGCCAGCTGAGGCTGCATAGTGAGAGATCAAACTCTTAAACTAGGGTTGGTGACACAGGCCTATCATCCGAGCCCTGGGAAGGCTAAGGCAGGAGGACCTCCACCTGTTCAAGGCCAGCCTGGGTGACATAGAGAGACCTTATCTCAAAAAACAAAACACAGGGCTGGTGAGATGGCTCAGTGGTCTAAAGCACCTACTT